ACAACTAGTGAAGAAGTTTCACTCTCTCGGTCGATAAGACAAGGCATATCAAATCAAGCTACCAAAATAGGTATCTTGGCCAATCGACTAAGGGGTGCCTAGGCTTCTCCCTCGAACTATAGTGCGGACGGCCAAAATACAACCAACCCAAGGTGCTAAAACGTAGTATGAGGTTTTCCTTAATTCGGCATAAGTAGGTGGCTCAATTTGACCAATGAATTCTAGCTTTTGAAAGCTTCTTAGCAAGAAGGGGAATTTCCTCTACCTATGTCAAACTGACATAATAGTTGGAGATGGAAAACACAACACAACCTTCATCAAAATACCTCAATACTTGAATTAAAACAAAACCTCACACATATCATTCAATTCATACAAACAATCACATGATTCTAGCTAGGGTTCACAAACACCCAAGTGAAAGAAGGGAACTACTCCATGCTAAGACTAGGGAATACACAAAGGAGAAGAGAAAAGACCATCTTAAGATTTTTTCCCCTCTTCCTTTGGTGTGGAGATCAACTTTGGAGGATGAGATTCCCAAATCTTGAAGCCTGGATGAAACCTTAACCTTCTTCTCCTCTATTGTTCATCACTCTCTCTAGAAATCTGAGGAAGAAGAAGTTCTCTCACTAGGCTCTCTCTGTTTCTTCTTTCCCGCTGTTTCACTAAAGGTCTTCACGGTCTGGAGAGGATTATCACGGTCGAGCGACCGCGATTTTTCGTAAACCTGCGAGGCTGAAAACTTCTCTGGTCGCCTTGCGCTTTACGTTCCTGGCCTCTTTATCACGATCGCCCGACCGTGAACTTCTAGCTTCCACTGTAATCTTCGACTGGTTGCTCCCTTTGATCCATTTTCGCCCCTTTTCGTCCAACTTTTGTTCCCGAGGTCGATTCTACCTGCTATGATTTGAAACACACTAGAAACAAGCACAAGATAGCGTAAAATCAAACCTCACAGAGTGAAAATGCCTCAAACATCTAAATAATACAGGGGGTTAAAATGCGTGCAATTGAACCCGAATTAAGCATTGATGTTTTTAATGAGAACTTGTTTTCCTCAAATTTCTATCATGTGAAATTGTTTGACACTTTGAGTTGATTGGCAACCTTACCAATGATTCATAATTTTGTAAGTTAATAATGATAACAAAAATCTAGTAACCGAATGCATTCATATTACATAATTGCCTATCAAAGTAGTAGTGGATCAAATAGAAAATTATGGAGTCATTTTAGCGATATCATTCTTTAGACTAATTAATTAATTAGGTTACCTACAATAGTATAAATCTTAATAATTAGTTAGTACCTGATAATTCTCCATAGATATAGATATCAATTTAAATGTAGAAATATTGATTTAATTGGTTAATAAGAAAAAATAAATTAGCAGAGGTAAAATTGGAAATTTTTTGTTGAATTCTCTATTCACGAAAGAAAATAGTTGAAATTTCAAGTTTGTTAAGTTTTCTATCTTTGCAGTTTATCACGTAATTACACTATAGTAATTTCTATGGTTTCGTTAATTCATGGATTTTATCACTTTCCTAGAGAATGATAATTTTATTTATAGTTTATTATTTGTACAACATTGCACACATGTAGTTTCGTGTCCACCAAATTCCTTACATTTTTCTTTTGCCTTTTCTTAAATGTTGCATTCTCATAAGCTTCCTTTTTACTTGCTTTCTTTGGTTTTCCTTAGAGTCATGGAGAGGAGGGGCTTCATTGATTCGGGTCTAATTGTACACTTTTTATTCCCATTTTCTTTAACATTTGTGGCAATTGAGCTCCAAAAGGGGTAGTTTTATGCTAGGTTTCTGGTGTTTCAGTGTGTTTCAGATTCTAACAGGTGAAACCAACCCCGGAGTCGAAAGTTGGAAGAAAAGGAGCAAAGACCGGGCAAAGAGGAGGAATCAGCCAGTGTTCATGGTCTACCATTAGAGTTCACGGTCGCCAGGACAGTGAACTGGAACCATAACCCGTGAACCAAGAAGCGTTCAGAGGGGTTTCTGAGGTTACTGACGCCAAGGCTGTTCACAGTCGCTAAGACCGTAAACTACAACCAAAAACCGTGAACCCAAGAAGTAAAGTGGTGCATTTTGGTTCAGCACACTGTGCTCAAGGACACGTCTTGATGTTCACGACCGTGAACTTGTGCAGTGAATTGGTCACGATATTAGTATAAAGAGCTAGCTGAAAGGAAGAAGAAAGGGGAGAGACCTAGTGGGAGAAACTTCTTCTTCTTCTTTTGATTTTTAGAGTGAGAAAGTGACGAACCAAAGAAGAGGAAAAGCTATGATTTCATCTCAAAGCAAGGATTTGGGAATTCCTCCCCTAAAGGAGGATCTCTTCAACACAAGGAGCAAGTCTTGCATCTTTTTGATGGTTTTTCTTCTTCTCCCTTGTGTTTTCCCTTCTCCTAGCATGGAGTAGTCCCTTCTTTCACTTGGGGGTTTGTAAACCCTAGCTACAATTATGTGAATGCTTGTATGAATTGAATAGTTTGTGTGTGGTTGCGTTTAATGTGAATGTGGAGGCATTATTCATGAATGATTGTGTTGTGTGAAAGTCTATCAATCTAATTGCCATTCTAACCTAGAAGTAGAGAGAAACCTCCCTTCCTTTCTTTGAAAGAGGCTTGAATGTTGGGTTTTCATGGGCAATTCATTGTCTTCTAGTTAGGTTAATGTAGGGCAAACCTCCTATTTTGTATTAGCACCTAGGGTTTGGTTGTGGGTGGCCGTCGTTACTCCAATTCGAGGGTGAAGTCTAACAATTCCTTAGTCAATAGGTTGAGAGAGTCGCATTAGTGGTTTGGATTATATCCCATTTCCTCGACCTAGAGACTAAGAGGGTAGCTTTGGTTATTTGTTAAACTTCCCTGCGGTTTATAATCCCCTCACCACACACGGCCATTCGATCCATCAAGTCATAATTGCTAGCTAGGGGGAACAACACCCAGGTGAAGGCTTCTCAATTAGTGTCAAAACCATTTCATCTTTGTAAGTAATTTAGCTTTAGATCCTTGTTTTTACCAAAACCATTCGCTAGATAATGTTTCAAACAGTCGAAGTAGCGGTACATGGGCCGGCCCGGTTTGATATTTAAACATACTTTCCCTATATTGCACCCATCTAAGATTTATACTTGGATCTTAGGTGGGATTTTATTGTGATAGTCAGAGAGAGTCAATCATCACCTATTTCATAAACTGGCTAACAACATAGATATAGATGTACATTTTCCTTACCAATTACTTGCATGACAATGATGACAAGGACTACCAGTTAACTCCTATTGTCTACAAGTACAAGTCTTCTCTCCAAATCCCTTCCCACGTGATAATATTATCCATATCCCTTTCATCTATGATCACATTACTCCAACTCTCAACTATGTTGCTAGTAACTACAATGAAATTGACAAGAGTAAGAAAATATGACCTCGTCCAATGGTGGAAGAGCTTTCAATAAGAGAAGCGTAGGAGGGCTTGTTACAATTGACAAAGCTTGCATGACAGTATGAAATTAAAAAACTATAGACGCTCTAGCAACTTTTCAAAATAATTCATTTACCGTTTGGAACCCTCTATGAAAAGCTTTCAACTTTTCGACAAATGCCTTTTTCACAATGTCTCTTCTCATAGTTGGAAAATTTGAATTCAAGTGTTGGCATGAGACCCTACAAGCAGAAAAAAAAAACACCAAAATAGATGAACAAACACTGAAAGCCAATTCTTCCACATAGGAACATAGTTGGTTGCAGACTTGCAGCCAAAACTAAAAGCAAAGACCGAAAACTTCTAGAAAACATCAACAAAAATCATCTAATGAAACATAAAGAGCAACAAACACACTAAATTAGCATCTTTCTCTGAAATCAATGTTCTTCCAGGATTTTCACATATGTTAAAGCTTGATACTAATGAGTTCAACAAACCAAATCGGTTTCCCTTGTTCTTCTCATCAAAATGTGAATAGGAAACTGGAAAATATTGGTCGTTTGCATAAATACCCACCACAAAAAGTAGTTCACCTACATAATAATGCACAATGCTTGTCTACGACCAACCTTAAACCATTGCTTTGATGTTTTGAAGCACACATACTGACAAACATACGATGGAATGTTTGGTTTGTCTACTCAACGACAACAATAGAAGAAAAGAACAACACACGAGAGTAAGAAGCTTCAATTTGGGTATTTAGGATTTTGATTTCAAGTTACAAGAATAAGAAACTAAGAAAGTCGAAGGAATCACATGGTTGACTTGATGGTTTCTTCCCCTCCATGGGTTTGCGAGAAATAACATATGAATGGGAGCCACAAAATTTCTTCATCTCATAATTTCTTTGTTTTTACAATTATCTTAATAGGTCGAGAGTCTAGTGTAATAAGTTGGATGGTTCAAGAATTGTGTTTGGTTTGCTAGTCTCGTCAATAATTATTCCTCTTGCAACTATGCTTGAATCGGACTAGTAACTATTTTTATAGACTGAATAAGGTGCTAACATCTCAAGTATTAGCATCATAATAAGAATAATTATTAAGGATATTTTTCTCACATCGATTTCTAATTGTGTACATCTTTAGTCTTTACTATCACAAGTTAACAAACATACCCCTTTATTTTTTTTCCCCATTTGTAACACTCAACTATAATAATGTAACAATTTTACCCTTTCGTTAAGTTTTTCTTCCACTCCCCTTTGTAGGAGAGGGAAAATGAACCATTTACCACACCCATTTTTATTTTCCCATGCTTTTATTTTTAATTTTGTTGTGTATTCTTTCATTTGTTAGTCGGAGAAGAAATTTTCTTCTATTCCTCCACAGAAGCTCGAAGCATTCCCTTCCCAAGCTCCCCCACTCAACACACCCTCAAAATCAATCTTGCTATTTCCTCTTATTCCAGCTCACTAATTCCATGAACCCATACAATACATTCATGAGATTCCAATATCCTATCCCCAACTAAATATTTTTTTTTTTTTGACAAAAGATAATATATATTAATCAGAAAAGATAGATAGTTACACCCTGGAGAGCAGCCAGGTCTGAAAATCATACGACCGATTCATATTCGGGTACAAAGAAAGGGCCTTCCGAGCCACCAAATGGGCTACCCTATTGTTTCCCCGTCCTATAAACCGAACACTAAACCCTGGGTTACAGGTAAAATAATATAGCACTTCAGCTAGCACCGCACCTAACCTGCTATCCCTCGTATCAGCAGCCTGGATTTTATCGATGACCACCTTGGAGTCCCCTTCAAACCTGACACTTAATAACCCGCGGCTCAGGCACCAAAGGACCGCCTCCCGCAGGACGAGCAATTCCACCACAAGAGGATCATCGATGACAGGGAACTGCATACCCGTGGCCATCAGTATATCCCGATTGGGTGTCATAAGCACTACTCCTCCAGCTGAATGCGACCCCCTCCTGGTAGCCTCGTCCCACCCACAAATGACCACCGCTGGTGAATCAACCTGAGCAGCAAGGTGGACCCCCGCACCAGCAGGACCCCAGACAGGCTTATCTACCGGGAGACGCACCCATTCCTCAAACTGTTGGGAAAACTGTCGCATCAACGCATCAACCCTATACTGTTTACCTTCAAAGACCACCCAATTGCGCGACCGCCAGATCCGCCAGAGGATAGCCACAATGGCCATAAATAAATCAGGCTGATGAACTAACGCCATTACCCTCTTAAGAAACAATGGAAATGTGTGGCGAGGCAACCCTTCACCAATATGCTCCAACCCAGCTGCTCCCCAGAGAGCACGAGCGACCGGGCAATCCAAAAAAAGATGCTCCGGAGTCTCAGTGGCCTCCCAGCAAACCGGGCAACGAGGATGGACCTGAACCTTTCTCTCAATCAACGCCTCAGTAGTGGGGATGATCCGACGGAAAATTTGCCAAACAAACACCTTCAACTTTGGCGGAATGTTTGCCTCCCAAAGGCGGATCCATCTGGTTCGATCCATCAAATCCACCCGAGCTTTCCGTCGGCCCCTTCTCTGCTCCAGGGCGACAGCCAAATGATACGCTGATTTCACCGAAAAAACACCATCAGCTGTACCATACCAGATAAGCCTATCCTCCATATTCGCGCGCGGAAGGGGAATTGCCTTAATATTGCGACAAGTGGCCGGGTCAAACCATTGGCTAAGTGCGTGGTCACACCAGCGTCCCTCACCTGGACAAATTAGCTCCGCCACCGTGGGATCACCCCCAGTTGGTAGCACCCCAGGGTTATAACGGAGAGGCTCAAACTGGTTCTGCGGTACCCAAGTAGAGAAAAGCATGGACGCCGAGCGACCATTCCCAATGTGCCACCTTAAACCCATCTCTAACAATCGCCGCCCAAAGAGAATACTCTGCCAACCCCACGAGGGGCGAGAACGAGCAGTAGCACTTAGGAAATTTCCCTGCGGGAAATATTTCCCCTTATAAACTTGGGCAAGAAGCGACTGCGGTTCACAGAGGATGCGCCATCCAATCTTAGCTAGAAGTGCTTGGTTAAAAAGCTCAAAATGTCGAAACCCCATCCCCCCATCATGCTTACTCCGACACATGTCCCTCCAGGAAACCCACTGAACTTTCGAGTGATCCTCACTACATCCCCACCAGAACCGAGCAACATGTTTATCCAGCAGACGACACAGAGACAGTGGCAGCTTGAAGCATGACATAACATGCAGAGGCAAAGCCATGGCCACTGATTTAATCAGGGTTTCTTTAGCCGCCCAGGACAACGTTTTCTGCTTCCATCCCTGGAGCCTTGCCAAGAGCTTTTCCTCCAAATATCTAAAGGTCTCCATTTTCGAGCGTGCAACCAAAGATGGGAGGCCAAGGTACTTATCGTGGACCCCCACTGCCCCCACCCCCATAATTGTAGCTAGGAGCTCCTGATCAGGGATGGTAATGTTATGACTAAAGCATACCGCCGACTTAGCCAAATTCACTCTTTGGCCACTCAGCTCCTCGTACTTATTCAAAACTGCCATTAGGTTTTCACATTCCGTTACTGTACCACGCAAGAATAAGTACGAGTCATCAGCAAAGAATAGGTGCGAGATACGCGGCGCCCTGGGGGCCACCTTAGTTCCTGCCAACTTCTTTTCTGAGATAGCCTTCCGAAGAAGAGTCGCAAAGCCCTCTGTACACAGCACAAATAACAGAGGGGACAAGGGATCACCCTGCCGCAGCCCCCTAGAGGCAGTGAAGTAGACGGACGGGGTACCGTTCATCATAACCAAAAAAGACGCTGACCTAAGACATTCCTGAATCCATCCTACCCAGACAGAACTAAAACCCAACTTTTCTAAAATCGTTAGAAGAAAGGTCCATTCAACTCTATCATAGGCCTTTTCCATATCAACCTTTAGAGCCATGTACCCTTTCTTCCCCCGTTTTTTGGTTTTAAGGTAGTGCATAAGTTCATGTCCGAGGAGGATGTTCTCCACTATTTGTCTCTCACGTATAAACGCATTTTGCCCTTCAGAGACAATTTTTGGTAACACACAAGCCAGCCGCTCCGCCAGAATTTTGGTTATAATTTTGTACACAAACTGGCAGAGGCTGATAGGACGCAGCTGGCGCATCGATTCCACAGTATCCACCTTCGGGATTAATGTGAGCCAAGTATGATTGAAACCACGGAGCATCTTTCCCGTTGTAAAGAACGAACAAACCGCATCAATCACTGACGGCCCCACGATGTCCCAAAAGGCTTTAAAGAATTTGCCCGTAAACCCATCAGACCCCGGGGCCTGCTTAGAACCCATCGCAAAGACAGTCTTGCGTACTTCCTCAGGAAGTACAACTGCAGTTAAAGCGTTATTCATAGCCGGCGTAACATTCTGCGCAATGGGTAGGGCCGCAACACGTTCTCTCATATTATGGACCGTATTTTCAGAAGTGAAGAGATGGCGATAAAAATCCGTCGCAACCTCAGCTTTCCCTTTCTCATCTGCGATCCACTCCCCATCATCATTCTGGAGTCTTTCTACAAAGTTCTTTTTGCGACGGGTTCTAGTCACTGTATGGAAATAGGAGGTATTTTTGTCCCCCTTCTTGAGCCAGTGGACGCGGGATTTTTGCTGCCAGTAGACCTCTTCTGCTTCCCACTGTCTATTCAGCTCAACCTCGAGATCACGAACCACTTCCCAGTTAACCGGAATAATGGCTTTGATTCTCTCAATCTCTGCTTGTAAGGTACGGATATTTCGCAAAGAATTCGTCGTCCCGGCTCTACTCCAATCATACAAAAGATGGCGAAGTTTTTTGAGCCGTTCCCAAAGGCGAAACATTGGGGTCCCCTCAATATTCTCTTGCCAGACATAAGCGACCATGGCTCTGACCTGAGGATTATCCGCCCATCGAGCGTCAAATCGGAAGAGAGGCCGACTATGTCTAGTGTACGGTTTATCAGATAACAGGAGCGCCCGATGGTCCGAACCTTGATCAGTAAAATGCTTAACCAGAGTTTCAGGGAACCGATCTTGCCAGTTTTGGGAACACAGAGCCCTGTCTAACCTTTCACGGATACAGGCTGCCCCCATTCTTCTATTAGTCCAGGTGAAAGGGTCCCCTTGAAACCCTGGGTCAAAAAGGCCTAGATCATGAACAAGGTTCCCCAGACTCAGGGATCGCGCCATACTCCATTGATTTCCCCCATCCTTTTCGTTTTCATGGAGAATAGTATTAAAATCCCCATTGATCACACAAGGATCACGGATGCCATCACAGTGCTCCCCAAGCAAATTCAATTGCGAATCACGAATTGCCGGATTACAACTAATGTAAACGAAAAACACCACATAGGAAAAGTTTATTTCATTAATGCGAACACCAATACAGAAATCCGAATGATAAAACACCGAAGCACTGACTTCGGGGGACCAACCGACAACTAACCCACCAGATGCATCAATTGCATCAACAAAAAAACAACAAGAAGAAGAGAAACCCAAACCCCGAATACGGCGGGTAACCACACTCCGTCTCGATCGTGTTTTCGAAAAAAACACAAGATCCGGTTTATTAGAATGCACTAGACTAAAAGCGGATTGGCATGTGAGGGATGGTCCAATTCCTCTCACATTCCAGGCCAGAAGCCTCATTTATCTGGTTGGGGCCACTCCAGGCTGGCTTCCTCCACCTTATCCATAACTTCTGTTTCTTCCACGAACTGCTTTTTTGGGGTCGGACTATCCGCCAATTCCTCCGCAACCTCATCAAATTGACGTTTTTTAGTACCCCTTTCCAGGACCATAATATTAGTGCCATATTCATTAATGCCGAGATTTGGATACTCAGCCAGTTGTTGCTTCTCATGCACGTCCACCAGGGACTCTGCATCGATCATGGCCAAACCCTTCTCAAAAGCCTAGACCACTTGATTCACTCGATTAGAGCGGACCAACCGCCGCAGGGTCCCTTGCACCTCCGGAGATCGGCGTCGGACTTCATACAAACCCGCCTCCGCCTCCGAGTCCGAGCCCTCAGACTCGTTCCGCTCCGGTGCCAGGGGCGAGCCCTTCCTCGTTCTAGTAACCAACAGGGGTTCGTCCCCTTTCTTCTTCCGATCCACATTCTGCCCCAGTGTCTGCTTTCTTCCAATTCCCCCCCCCCCCCCTGCCTGGGGGTTGCTTTGTCCTTCCGCAACAATTTCCCATCATCCCTAGGCTCGGGTGCGATTTGGCGCAGCGGCACAGCCTCCACAACTTCTTGCTCCGATGGGTAAAGGCGGGTGGAGCCATTAGCCTCATTAGATTCTGCCTCACATCTTGGTGACGGGATTGTGCTAACAACAAATTCTTCTTCGGATTCCTCTTCCAGAATCAATCTCTGCCGCAGCCAAGACTGGCGCCGCCGATCCAGGCAGACCCGACGCGCAGCCCCGTTGCCTGTCCGCCTTCCGCCCACCCTTTTTTCGGCCCAGCTGACCCGACTCCGCAACATCCCTGCCTTTGGCCCGATTTGAGCGGCCTGTAAACCTTTGGGCCTTTGGCTGGTGATCCACGGCTGATGGGCTCGCCTGCTGCTTTGGCCTTCCTGGCCGAGAGGGTCTTCCCAAGGCCAGGCGTGGGCCTTTAGCAACTGAGAAGCGCATTGGGCTCTTCCATTGAGCGTTCTGGGCCTCCGTGGTAAGGAACGGGTCCCTGGATGTTCCCATCCACCGTGGGCTGCCCACAGTCCCCTGAGGCCCCTTAGTAAGCGGTTCACTTTCTTTGGGCCTATTAGAGCCTTAATCCGCCCCCTTCTCCTTCACATGGGTTTCGCGGGCAGCAGAATTAACCCAAACCGAATTTGGGTGGCCACGGGGATGGTTATGCTGATCCACCCCTTCAAAGACTTTTCTCCCCAAGTTTTTAGTTGACATATGGGGGCCAAATCGCTCCTGTCTTGTTGGGGGATCGAAAATGCAAGTCTGGCGAGCATGGCCCACTCTTTCGCAGTTAAAACAAAAACTAGGGAGGAATTCATACTTGAACCGAATCCAAAATCCGCCAGTCTCATCATTCGTCGCCATAACTTGGGATCGTAGCGGCTTAGAAAAATCGAGAAGGGCCTTCACTTTGATGAATCTCCGTGTCGTAGTCGGACAAGAGAAGATACCCGCCTCCAGCACGCGGCCGAGCATGGTGTTAACAATCTTGCGTCCAAATTGATGGGTGCAGCAATCCTCCTGGACATCCCATAGCTGAACACGGAAAGGAGCGACTGCGAGGTCATCAAAAGTACGTTGTGAAACATCCGGGATCCATGTCCGCAGGTGAAGAATACTATCCGCAATGATCCATGGGGTCCTCTGCAACACCCATGTTTTGGCTTCTTCAGATGGGAGAGTGAACTCGAGCAGCCCGTGCGGCAGATTGCGCACAATAATGCGACCTTGTCCCTGCCATGGACGGTTGACCGCATCCCGTAGCTCGGTGAGAGGAAGTCTGTTATCCGAGAAGAGTCGGCCGATGAGCATTCTTGCTCTGCGGACACTGGTTGCCTGGACTTCCTCGAGAGAAAACTTCACCACTTGGTCATCAGTAACTCGGGCCATGGTGTTCACCTGCGTAGCAAGAGAATCAGTATAGCATAGCGAGGGATACTCAAAAGGTATCATGATGGACCAAGGGAAGTTCCATAGAATATTTCGGATGTTATACAAGGGAACAGATTCCATCCAGACCTGGAATTGGATATCTGCCCGACAATGGAGCCACTTACCGGTTGTTTTTCGGCGCCCGTGCTGAGAATCGTGACTTCGCCTCTTCTTTCGGATATCAAGCAGCTGGTAACCTAGTGATATCAACGAAAGGGGAGAAGGGATTAAATAGCCCAGTGGGTTTCGGGTTGTTAACTGCCGGGAAAGGCCAGCTTGAAGTAGGAGTCTATTGCTCCGTTTGTTATACCCGATTTGGGTAAATCTTCCCACACGATTTACGCTGGGTCGGCAGTTGGGGGCTTTATCCCCACTCCGAGAAGATCGGGACTCCGGTGAAACGGTAAGAGTCCCCCTCCCAGAAGGTAAGTTACCGGCCAAGCACCGCCGGCCCAAGACCGACCAGACGCCGTTAACCGTCCAGGAGCCGACCATCCCACCCACCGGGCTGTGCCGGACATTCGTCTCACCAGACTTCGCCCCAACTCGGGATCTGAATCCTGGTTTCAACAATTCCCCTGTCTCGGCAGTAACCATTTTCGGAACAGGGGCCAAACATTGCACCATCTCTTCCCCATCGACCTCACCGGACGATGGGAGATTGAAATTCCACATCTGAGTTTCGATCGACTTCGCCCCATTTTGGGATCTGAATTCCATCGACGCAAGCTTATTGCGCACCAATTTTTTACTTGTAAGATTCCGCCCAACAAACGGCGGCAGATCCCATTCCTCTCCCATTAGTTCACCCGGAGAGTGGATAATGAATTTCCATCCCTGACTTTTGCATACTCTGCTTCGCTTTGCTGGAGGATCAGTCTGGCCGGGCCATCCGTCCCGACTTCTTTTTTCCTTGCAAGCGCCCTGGATCTGGGCATTCTTCTTAACTCGACTTCTATGCCACCGTTTCGAACGTTTTTTATTCTCGGTAGCCCAGATTTTGAGATCACCCCCAAGAGCCGATAGTGGTTGAGCACTCTGGCAGGTAGTGTTGATTCCTTGATTAGCAATCGCCACCTTGAGGACTAGAGATACGGACCATGTGATAATCCAGCCTGCCGTCGCGAGAAGAAATCTGATCGCCGACCACGACGAGATGAGGAGAGAGGACAGAGCTCCTCGCTCCATTTTTTATTTTATTTTTTTTCGTCTTTTGGGTTTTAATTAACTTCCCCAACTAAATATTAATTTTAAGGGTGATGACTATTTATTAGCCAAACCTTTTACGGATTATTTTTTGTTAGCCAAACATATCAAAATACTATGAATTAGTCGAAATGTTAATTTTCAGTTAGCAATTTTGTTAGTAATATTGACTTGGCAACATAATACTGACTTGGAAGAGACACATAAAAGTCAACATTCCAATATTTTAGTATTTTAACTAAGAAAAGAGTTACAAAATTATTAACAATAACTTAAAAATGGATAATATTTTGTTGCATTATGAAAGATTTGGCTAATTAATAGCATTTTAATAGGTTTGAATAATATAAAAGAATCTTAAAAAGGTTTGGAAAAAAATAGACATTACCCTAATCTAATTTATGGGCAAAGGGAAGCTGATCTACAACTATGTCAGTCTCATCTCCATCTGCTCACACCACTTTAAGCAGCTCCACCACAACCAGAAGGCATCTCCGCTGGTACATGACAACCATCTTCTCGTCTACCTACTGCCAAGCGCCATCTTCTTCCCCTTTCATAAACTTCATCTTCCATCTCATCTAGATAATGAAAGGCATCATCTTCAGCTCCGTAATGGTAGTTGTGATTACTACTACTGCTTGCATGGAAGTCATACTCGGGTTGGCTTTCTTGTTGGTTGTCATGGTATTGTTGGGATTATTGAACGTATAATGGGAAGGGTTGATGATGATGGCCTCCACCTCCTTCTTGGTACTCATGGTACTGTTGGGCTTCTTCTTCATATGATGGGAAAGATTCATGATGATGACCTCCACCTCCTTCTTGGTATTCATGGTAGGATTGAGCATCATGGTAGCCTTGATAGGAAAGATCTTTATATACCCCACCGCCACCGTGAATACCAGATGTTTGGCCACCTCTAGGATGACCTCCACCGCCTACAACCTCTTCGGTGTAAAAAAATATCTCTACTTTGGAAATGTTATTGACATTCAGAAAATCGAGCATGGCATAAACTTCATCCTTACTGGTTAAGGGAAATTTCTCATACAACAACGACCCGCCTTCTTTGTTTGGATACCGATACACCAAAAGATCAACTCTTCTTGTGCCCTCCATGCAAGTAACCCTAATACACATATGACGGAGCTCTTCAAGGTTTAGCCGCGTACCAATCTTCACTTTATGAAAATCACCACCTACATAACATACCCCTTTCTAGTCTCTTCCGCGTAACCATCCATCATATCAAAACCGTGAATTTTCGACAGGCCATCTACAATAAATTCATTTTAAAATTAACTAAGCGTGAAGCATGACATTCTCTATAGTATCCTCTAACAGACAAACATAATATACAAGAAACAAATGTAACCATAAAAAAGTAATAAAAATGAATACAAAACAAACGTACGGAGTAATATAATTGCAAACAATGAAAAAACAGTTGGTAGAAGAACAAAATTAGATGAAGAAGGAGAGGCAGAGGAAGTAGTGAAGAGTTGGGGTGAAAGGTGCTGCATTTTATATGCAAAATGTGACTTGAAAACCGCCACACTCCCCGATGGTCCACAGAAGACCACTAGGGGGTGTGGCAGTTTTCATGACACACCGAAACCCCACGTCTGTCGACCCCCCGAATGTCGACATATTGGATGCTAGGGGATAGGGACACCACATAAACCGTAGGACTTCCCAGCGGGTCTATGTATGCAAACCGGACCAACAGGGACTGTGGCGGTTCTTTTTGTGAAATTAAAACCACTAGGGGGTTCCTGAAGTTCTTTGACAAAATGATAACCACAGCAGTCTCAGAGTGATGCAATTCTTGTAAAGCTGCGGTATGAATTTTTTTTTTAGAGTGATATTTTTTGAATTTTTAATTTTTGTGTGGTATAATTGGTTAATTCCGGTTTAATTAATTAAAAAAAAGGTAAAAATGAAGGGCAAATTTGGCTTCCCCATAAAAGAGATTACGGAAAACTTGTCGAGATGGTAAAGTTGTCATATTTATATAGTAGAAAAATACAAATGTACAAAATATTAGTAGAGAGGCAGGTTAATTATCTCGCGATAGTAAAGGAGCGCTATTAACCCTTTATTTTATCTCATTATCGGAAGAAGTTGAAGGCATCTTCATATATATGTCATCTGCAAAAGTAAAGAAGGAATTCACATACTATATAACCAGCAGCCATCCCTAAACCTTACATATCTCCATTGTCCCCAAAATGAAGAAAGAAGAGTATTACATGTTCTCAGTAGTCCCCAAAACCTACAGATCCTCAGCTGGTGAGCCACTGCACGACCCCACGCCTTCTCTTAACCGGTCACAAGATTCAAACCCACGTTGAGAAGTGGTTGCAGCTTTCTTCTCAATCCTCTTCTCCAATGTTCCTTCATTCTCACTCATACCACCACAATCCTTGTTCGGCTTCCCTTCCACGCTAAGATAGTCCGTCAACACCTTCTTCACACCAAACCCTCGCTGTGGTATCTTCCCACTAGTCCTGAAGGGCGATTTCGTGGCATTCTCCCCTTTCACTGCCGCCGGGGAAAAACTTGGTCCCGTGAATCCTGCTTTGAATGGACTGTTCGACACCGGAACAGAATATGGAATATTGACGCTCCGGTGAGCAATCACACTCACTTTAGAGATGGAAGGGAACTGGTCCGAATGTTTGGTTAGATCGTCCACGTAGAGCAGGTCATCAATCCTTGCCACGATGTTGAATGCCAAGCTCTCCAAAACCCTCGAGTAGCTCTCCAGAATTGACTTCCCAACGTCCTGAAATGAATAAGAAATTCATTACAGATCTTACGTTTCACAGGCACAAACTTTTTGTCAACTTCAAAATCTGTAACGAGTTCATTTGTTTCCAACAGTGTGTTAGTAATTCGGATTAGGAGGACATTTAAGTACAATTCATTAACTAACCTTGTTGTATTGGATTTTGCTCATGTCTAGAGCTGTCTGGGGTAGACCAGGGAACCTCTGTTTCAAACAGAGAAGCAAGCTTTCCGCTCGATCAACAAGCAATTCTCTCTTGTCTCCATCTACCATCAGCTCTTTCATCAATTCCCACGAAGACTTGGAGCTTGACCGAGACGTGTTGCTGTTGCCTGTCGATTTGGAGTTGGACCTCTTTCGCCACACGTAGATGCACGACTCGACTCGATTCGCAAGTTCTATAGCTTGGTGTTCGGTGGAGAGTTCAAGGCAATCCAGGAGGCATTCCGGGGAAAATTGGTCCGACGAAATGTATCGATAAATTAGATCCCCTAAGCTCGCCTTCCCATTCTGATAAACCAAAGTCTCAAACCACTGAGTTTTGCTTTCGTTAGTGAACAATGAACCAAAATCTACAAGTAAACACTGTTGTATACCTTTGGGAGAGCATCCAAGTAGGAGTCAGGAACTTCCATATCAGATAAAGTAATACTGTTGATTGCCATTGCGGCTTTCAGTATCTGGTTTGTGCAATCCCTTTTGTGCTGCAATTGCTTCCTTGAATCTTCCTGGAGACCACCGGTAGGAACACGTGGCACCGGCAGCCACCATTTTTCCTCTTGGCGGGGAAGGTTTCGTCGAAAGGACGATGACCCGTCTGTCTCAGTTGCTACGATACCTTGATCAACGTACCAGAACTCTGTGTTCTCAAAGCTGTCCAATATTTCCTGTCATTTTAACAATAAGGTTTCGCTTTTAAGAATTGGGCTTTTAAGAAATGCAAAACCCACTTGGGGAATGTTGAATTAGGGTGACTCTTACGAGAAGCATGTTGTCCAATTTGCGGAGAGCAGGTAGATTTATGTAAAGATCAGATCTTGGCCTACAAGTCATGACTTCAAGCTTGCTTCCATCTGGAAAAGTCTGCCATGAAGGAATCAACTCGACGATGTGGTCACTCACACAGAGAAGCCATTCCATTTCTCTACGCCACATTGCTTTTTTCTCTGGCGGTAAAGGCTCCAATCGCCATAGTTGCCCAAACAGAGTCGCTGTAACCACCAGCGTTAAAAACAAAGACAGTGGGGGAGAGCTAGAGTTAATGGTGACGGGGAAAAAAAAGAGCAGAGAGGTGGCCTTACCGCAGAGATTAGTAATGGCGTTTGAAATAGCCAACGCCGTGCAAACCCCATTCCCACAGCCTGACATATCTTCACCAAGCAACAGCTTCGAGAATCTTTCCTTCATCATCTCTATCTCTGCGAACATTTGGCGCTAATTTCAGATGTTACCCACCAGGTGTTCGAGGGAATTCCTGAACGAAACAAAGCAAAGAATAATTACCAGAAATTGAAGACCCGCGTTCGTTCGGCTTCCTCCCACCCGCTTTCTCTTCCTCATCGGCGGAGATATTGGTGCTGGTACAATCAGGGACTTCATCTTTTCTCACGCTCCAACGCATGGACGGCGGCGGGGGCGAGATAGACTCCTCCTCTTCTCCATCGGAGCTACAACGACTCTGTTCTTCCTCCTCGTGGGCTGTCGTCTCCGAGGTCAAGAAGTCGGAGCTAGAACTGCTCTCTCTGCATTTGTCTTCCATAAATTCGCCAAAAGTCCGAACAACCTCTCCATTGTTCCCCCCGCCAAGCTTCCTTCCGTTGGCCATTTTTGCTTCTTCGTCTTTGAGAAACCCAGGGGAGTCGCAGAAAGCAGAATTGTTTACGACCATGCCACTGAACTTGAACTTCCCGAGGCCGAACCCACCACCACTACCACCAACAACAGTAGCGCCACTCGAGGAGCTAGCTTTGTCCGAGGAGGAGCACCAATGTAGCACGTACTTTGAGACCCAGAAACCAAATAAAGAAAGATAGCGGCCGCTGAAGGTCGTAGAAGCTCTGCAGCTATCCCTGAGCTTCCCAAGTAGCAGGCAGGTGGGAGCACAAAGGTTATTGAGGTGGTGGGAAGAAGGGTGGTGGTATTGTTGTGGATGCTCTGTTTTCTCTCTCTCTTTTTGGTGAGTGAAAGCTCTATCCATAATACGGTATCATCTTCAACCCAAGCCTACTACAGTACTACTCCATTGTGAGGGCAAAATAGAGAACCTGACCGAGGAAAAATCATTCTTTTCTTATTAAATTTGTTTATTTTTTTTCACTTTTGGAGGGGAGACATTAAATTTGGTTTGTTGTGTTTTATAGCCTGTGGAGAAAGGCAAGTGGAGAGGTGAGCAAAGTGGAGGGGAAGGAAGGAAGGCTCTTCTTAATTATTATGGTTCCTTCCTTGTTATTATTACTTGTCCAAGCACATGATCTGAGACGGAACCTGAGAGAAAGTGAAGGAGAAGGAAGGCTCTTCTTAATGATGACCGCGGTTTGTTCTCATTATTGTTCTCTTGACAATGAAAACAGAGGATTTTTACTTTGTTGCTCTGTTTTCATCTAGCTTATTATATTCTGTTTATGAAACTCCTTTTTAATTTTATCCCCTTCTAATGGAAAGAAAAATACAAAGGATAGACTTTTCCCCTAACTTTACTTTTAAGTGGTGTTTGTTTTATGTTTAGTTGGTAGTGGTGTTGGGTTTTGCGTAAACAAGGCTTTTCCATGATATGAGGAGGGAGTGGGGGAAGATGGCTTGAGAACAAAATAACAAGGAAAAGAAAGATGGCATAATAAGGAAATAACTGGTTGATTCAAGACATAGCTTCACCAATAATCCTTATATCTATGTGATATTCTCCACAATGATAACATTAACGAATTTCTTACAATGCCACAATTTGGAAAAAATGGTAGATCGGTTTTAACAAATAGTCAACAGAACGAAACAATTATCTTGTTGCCACAAAATTGTATCATAAAAAAGAAAAACAATAGTCGATCGATTAGCATGTTGAGGTAGGTATTTTATCTTGATTTAGGTCAACCTGTGAAAGCAAGCAGTCGATCGTTGTTTGCCTAGTAATTGTGGGACTCTAATTGCAACAAGATAATTCTATCATCTAATCGACCGTTCACAGAAAATGATTGACTGCTTTCTTCTAGGCAAGATGATTTAGAAGTTAATGTAGGCATACCCATAAAATTCAAATTAGAGGTCTATATGTGCCAAGTTTGTATGTATAGTTGCTATTTTTTACGAGAAATTTTATAATGTTTTAAAGTATTGGTGTTTTAGTTTTTACCTTTATGGTATGGTACAACTTTAAGTTGTACCTATACATAGGCGGAGGGAGGGCAGTTTGCCCTTGTCCCAGGAGAGGGGCAAATTTTGTAAGAGTAAAAAATAACCCCATGTTTGTTTGAATTGAGAATAAACTCAACACCTATAACTACAAGTAATATAAGGATATTTTAGCATTACATTATAATTCATTACTAGTTCATTAATTACCAAAATATAATTAATTTATTTGTTTCATTCATGACACTATTATTCAACAACAGATTGTTGAGTATTATAATTGTTTTATGGCTGGTGAGAGATTTGTTGGATTGAAAGGAATTGATAAATGATCTCAGATGATGGTGGAGACAAAAGTTCATAGGTTATATCGATCAGTTGATTTGCTTTTGAAATTTTTTTTGATACTACCAGCTGCAACTCCGAACGTAAAAAGAGCATTTTAGGTTGATATATTAAGAACAAGTTTCGAAGTCGAATTGATGATCAGTTTGTTAATGATTGTTTAGTGTAAGAGACAGTGGTAGTTCCAAATGTATTTTGTAATTCTTTCATAATATGAAAACTCGTCGTGGTTGTTTATGCAAACAATAATTGAATTAATCATTTATTTCTTTATCTATTAATAAATTATTCGGATATTATTAATTTTAATTTTAATTATTAAATATTTTAATTTTTATATTTTGAAAAAGGACAGTGGTAGTTCCGAATCTTGCCTCCGCCACTGTAACCTATACTCTTTTGTAAAATTTCTTTATGGTACAAACTACAAACTAAAGTTGCGCCATCATATAAATGTCAAATTCCCTTATAGTACAACTTCAAGTTGTAACTTTAATGGTACAACTTCAAACTATATTTAAAAGTACCAATATTTTAAAGTAGAGTAGATGTCCTACTTTTTGACATGTTATTGAAAGAGATGTGCAGGTAACAAGCAAAGTCCACCCCACATTCCAGTATAAAACCTTCAAATTGAAAAATAATGATGGTATCACTAAACTGAACCTTTTTTTTACGAAGTACTCACCTTAATTACTGTTGGAACCACTAATAATAGCCAATTACCGTACCTTTTCTCATATCAGTTCTTCAATTTTAAGTTTCCGGTTAAACTTAACTCACCTTTCATCAAATTTGGTGAACAAGTATATGATGTAATAGTCTTTGATGACTAATATATATAATGAGCAAGTAGTTGTTTTAAGGAGTTTGCTGGTGAGATATTAGAGGGTACAATATAGGACTTGATAAGATTTACTTTTAAATATATTTGTTAGGCAAGTTTTTTTTCCTATGATTTACCTTTAAAGAGTCTTTTTCGTTGTATGATTTTTTGTTCCCTAACCCACACTTTCCAATTGTCGATTAAGCATCTTTTCCATTTCGCTATGACTTGTGTTAAAGAGACTTTTTTCCTTCTCCCACATTTTTTACTATATAGATTAAGCAAGTTTTTTCTCTTTCTCAATTCATAAAGGGGTTATATTAGCGTGCACATGTTCTATCATTGTTCAAGTTCATAACTATTTAAATGTTACATAGCTGCAAGTTTTACAAGTCGTTGTTCATTAATTTGTGTATGGACTACACTATGACTAAGAGAAATCAGTTCACTTCAATATTTATATAATCACTCATTAATGTCTAATTATCAATTTAGTTTTCCTTTAATCATTCATCAATAGAACTAAGTAATTCATTCTTCTAAAATAGTTCATAACGAGAATAAACACCAGTCAATAAAATTAGCCACTTCTTACAATCACTTAGTTAATTATAAATTTTGGTTAAGGAGGAACCATAACCTTTATTTATTTTAGAGGGGGTTCACTAACCTACTTAAGGGAAGATTCATAATAACATGTTTAAATTTTTTGTATTTCTCGATATCTTGATATATATCAACTACAATCTCATATCTCGAATACTGAATACTGAATACTAATAAAAAATCAATCTCAATCACCAAACCCAAAATTTTTGCTCGTTATTTGATAATTCCAAATAACAATAAATTCGGTGTGGTATTTGATGTATCCCAAACACCGATACTAATATTCTTTCCCTGGCTAGACATTGCAATCCTGTGGAGTTGGTCACCGACTTTCCAAGTAATGGTTAATTACTAATCAACTTAAATCACTACTCATTAGTTCGTGGTAAGACTAATATGCACATGGACATAACTACATGGAATAACTATGTGTTCTCATTCCTAAAGGAGATTTACTATACCCAATAAATTTTGTTTGCTGATAACCAACGACTGCCCAAGTAACATTTACTAATAATGAATTAAAAGTACATAAATTAGTCCGGTCACAAAACACGGGAACTCACGAGAGAACTTCATATTCTATTTCATTACTAGGCTCTGTTCTGGTCAAATCAATTATGGTTTGTTCGTTGTCAAAGTTTAAAGGTCTTTACAGATAGAAGGTACACACGCACAATGACTTAGCACCAAACTATATCGTAAGTATCATTAGATTCAGTTCAATAGGGATTGCACGACCAACAATGTTTGATTTCGTCATTATTGATTTCGTATTGTGTGTCTGGAAGTTTGAAAAAAATGATTAAATGGAAAACTATATTTTTACCCCAAAAGTTAACGTTTATTAAAATCTTTATTTCGTTCTCTAATAACATCAACTTTCGTTTAAAAGAAAAGTGCTATTTACTTCTAATTAACATATACATTTTTACGTAAACCATTCTGAAGCGCGAGCCAATTGTGAGTATAATAAATGAAGGAATAAAAACTGAAATCGAAATATATTAAGTTTAAATGGTGTAAAGTAGAATTTACAAGTCGCAACTTCAAATATACAACTAGAGCCAGGAGCTCAATTTGAACATCTGAATATCCCCTCCAAGCTAGCTAGCAAACTAGGAACCCAGCAATTTTGTTTTGTGTTAGTAGCAGTGTCCCCAATGCAGCACCAACAATGGCATTAAATGGGCTATAGGCCGACTACCGGACATAAATTAGAAGAGCACCAAAGGAGAAAACAAGACAAAACGGTAGATCCAGAAGAAGCCAGAGGTTCCCCCACTCTGGTCAGCTGTTGTTTGGCAGCCACAGTTTTTTAGGGTCTGAAGGAGCCGAAGATAACGAGAAAAGGATACTTTTGTCTTCTCCCTTCCTGCGGGCCTGCGGGGTTGTACTTGTACTCAGGGGCGGAATAGGCGCGGGACACCCCTAGATTTTGGGAAACGATTATTCGACCTTCGATGGTAATTTATTTATGGTCAAAAAATTTATAATTGATAGTGAGAGATACTCTTGAAATTGAAAAATGATGATTCTACTGTCATTTTTAAAATTTGTGTATGAGAATATAAGTGGTGGGTTGGGTAATTCAAACCTAAAACACTATTATTATTAATAACTTAATTTTTATTACACTACAACTCATTTGTTGTTCGATTTTGAACACTGTGTAATAGTAAAATGTCATTTCCTAACTCTATTTATTTTCAAAACCTAACAATTAAACTAATTTCAAGCTACCCTTAATTTGTACTGATTTTATGGTTGTAAGGTAAGTATTGAAAGAGTCTTTCCAGCTTTGGGTTACATCAAGAGCAAGTTTACAAATCGAATATGCGATAAATTCGTGAATGATTGTCTAGTATGATATTTAGAGACAATGTTTTTTAACACTGTAGACATAAAGTGTATTCTACAATTTTTCCGAATATGAAAACACATCATGGACTTTTTTAACCTGTACGAATAATATATTTTCTTATTTACAATTTTATTTTTATTTATTTTTTAAAATGAGACACTCCTATGAAAAAAATTTGAGTCCGCCACTTGTTGTACCGTTGGGAGTCGGTCTTCTTCTTCATTCCATCGAGGGCAACGTCCTATCAGTTAACAAACAAAATTAATGAAAAACAATAGTTATCGCGCCCGCACGAGCACGACTGCGCACAAGGCAGTAGGCGAGGCAAGGAATCCCCTT